TGTATAAGAACTTATGCGACAACCTAATATTATACCAACGTGTAAGATCTAAACTTCCTTCTACCAGAATCTGACACAGTAGGACTTGGAGAAAACATCGCTTCCCTTCCCAATATTTGGAGTTTCAACCCGCTATTTGGGAGTTTCAGCCAGAGGATCGAGTACAGGTGGTCGTTGAAAGCAGCGACCAAATGAGCTGGACAGCTGATCAGGACCGCATAGGCCTGCACCACATAAGAACACACGTCCCCGAATTTGCAAATTGGATCCAATTTTTGGATTTCTGCTGCAGAAAATGTAAAATGCTCCGGAAATTAGGGGACAACCTAATACAAAAGAGCAAGTGCAGCTTCACACTTTTTTCAAGCTAATGCAATTGCCACGGCGTAGTCATGCTTATCGTGACACGTAATGAACGATTGGCGGGTAACCTGCACATAAATTCAGTCTCATGTGCTATTTATTGAAATTTGGACATTTCAACGGCTATCGTGATTACAAGAAAAATGCTCATAAATTTAGACCGCTCGACTCCCTCTTTCAAGAAAGCCAAGGTTGAGGGGTGTTCCTAACAGTCTGACATGGAGGAGCACGGAACCCGCTTTCAAGTTATTTCCGGGCATTTTGCTTTCTAACGACCTCATCGACTTGTCGAATATAGGCAGCCTCTTCTTGAGTTGACAGGTTTTACCATGATGGCTTGACGAGCTTGCTCCAGCTTCACAAGAGTTCACAGGTTTCACCAGAGTGAGACTTGTAAACCAGAACTAGTGAAGCAACGAAAGTGCAAAATGCCCCCCCCCCGTCGGCAAACATGAAATTGCAGGATGATTCGCATTGGGGAAATACTCCATTTTCTGAGGCGAAACACTCATTCATTTGGTCGTAGAAAGGCATGTAAAACCGCTCGAAGAACTTCTGGTGACATCTGCGAAAGATCCTGAGCTTTTTCGCATACTCTACCCTGCAGACTGATTTGCATTTTTATCGTTTATTATCATCCTAATTCTTCGTTGAAACGAAACAATGACACGAAACCAGCCATCGGTAACTCACAGAAGTCAAAATGAAAACGGTCCTTTTTTGTGCGAAGCCTTCACCGGATTCACAGCCCGTGTGTTACCCAGGCATGAGGATGACTCATACACACAGGAAACAGGATACTGAGAAATCAGGAGTACTTACCATAATAGGGAAAGTAAGAGAGGTCGACTTGATGGACTTGACTGTCCAAAGAATAGCAAGACATCCAACTTGGAACGCTGTGAACAAGTGAATCTTCTTTATAGGCACATGACGAATGTAGATTGTATCGGGCTGGTACCTGGAATACGCTACGTGGTTGCTTTGATGTTATGATCAGATTCTTCGATATTCTTTTACATATCCCAGCTACATATGATTTTTTTAACTGGATGCGATAATGAACTAGTAAAGAATTTTGGTTTTATGCTAATGTTTCAATTTCAATCCACGGTCTACGTTGCGATATATACGGACAGGAAACACCCCCACCCCCGTCTCCCACTCCTCCCCCACCACCACCAAGGGCTCTGTTACATACAGAAGCATTGGCATTCCATTATGGAACAGGCGAACAGAAACGTCGGAAACGCCCAAAACAGAACCCATTCCATTTCCTGTACGAGTACACGTCAAAAACGGTGCTCGTTCGACTTTTCTCCTTGGTGTTACCATAACGATAACAGCTTTCGAGCACATCACTTTCACAATAGGGATCTTTTTCGAGTTCTGTGTTACACTGCTTTATCGAATTTGATCGTAAAGTGGGCGTGGACCATTGGGCTCAGACATTCTACGTCTAAAGCTTTAAAAGCCACTCCGATTCAATTTCACGCCACAAAGCGGCGCACCCTAGCCGGCTATGGAGCACATCTTATGTGAAAAAGGTCTAGATCCCATACAATTGTGCTCTAAGTTTTCATCACAGGGGAGGGGGAGTGACCACTAACAAAGACTAAAAGAGACCAGGATATCTGAGCCTCGTCTGCAGCCGACATAGCTGGTCTTCCCAGCCAACTGCGAACAGCGAAAGCTAAAATATGATCCTTCTGAAAGCAAATTCAAGACAATATGGGAAGAATGGAAACTCACTTCATTGGCATCAAAAGCAGAAGTATACGGTCGAAGAGCTGAATACCACCCAGAGCTGATATACCCATATAGAGGAACACTCCATACAGTACGGGCATTGGAATTTTTCCGAGGAAGTTGGTGATCAGTACAGACAAGCCGATCATGATAAACGTTACCATACCAGTCACACGTTGTTCTCTGAAAATAAATGCCTGTTGGTAGCTAAGAGATCTTGCAAATCTGAGTGTCACACTTACCGTACACCAATAAATTGAGCTACTTCTCCAGGCGCTTTGCAATCACTTTCAACCTTCAGCGAATTGATGTGATTAATTGAAAGTACGGTCGCGGCTACATAGATTGGTAAACCAAGTATACCGACGACGAATATGAGGATGGCCAAAACGAGCAAATCCAAGTGATAGCCACAACCCTAAAACAGGCACTTTTCGCTTCCAACTTCACTCGTCCAATTGTTTGCACCCACTTTCTTCAGCTTGTTCTCTTTTCGATTCACAATGACGGTGGTGATTTGCTGGTCCATGAATATCAGAATACATGCCAACAATGCAGGTAGAGCCGCCAGTGGGACCGTCCAGAGAGGATTTCCATCGAAAGGTGGGATGAACCAGTCTCGTCCATCCCATGTGGGCTGAAAGTCGTCGCTTGGTCAAATGAAAAAAATGGGCAATGTAATATTATAAAGAAAACATTGCCATCATGAAAAGGGATAAAATGAGTGTATAAAGAGACTTACGCGGAACGAGCTGGGCACATGCAGCTTTGGAGTATTCACACCGGCTGACATATCGATAAAAGTCATTATGACAATGGATATCATGACAGCGAAGTCGCTGAATATCTGCCTTACGCGTGATGGGAAGTAGCAAGAGTTGCGCATCCTCTGAAAGAACAGCATCTTATTTACGCACGGTCAAAATTCAGGGAAGGGCCAGGTGGTCAACGGAACACTCCTAAGAAAACACTGTGATTGCCAGCACATAGCACTAAGTTTCTGCGAATGGTTGTACCATTCAGAATTCCCAGTAACATGATTTCGTACTGCAACTTCGACCTGATGGTGGGTCAACACCAATACACAGGAGGGAAACGGCTGCAGCGGGCAAATTTCATGCGGAAAAGGCACTCATACAAGAATTTTATACCAAAGGGGGCATCTCAACACATATCCCATATGTGAAGCAGGAACTATGCGTATTTCTCTTGCGAAGAAAGAGCCTCCGTTCTCAGTGTGTTCAAAATCGATTTTGGACGAGTTTCCTGTAGGCCAATAACCGCTACCGAAGGTACGGCTGCATATGTGTACTCATATATCCATGCAGCATCACGGCCGCTTCATACCAATCCCTTCGCTTCATAATTTGCTTAGCAAATGAATCGATTAGAGCGTCAGGAACGGTCGTCCATTTGTGGGCGGGCGGGCGTGGCGGGCGTTTGGGTCGTAATGTTGTGGCTTGATAGGGCCCTTATAAGGGCACCTTCCTTGGAAAAGGCGCTATGCAGCGCCTGCTCAGGGTCGCGGAATTCCGTCCTGCCAGGCGTATTAATCCTACTCGTCTTGAGGAATTTATCGTGCCAGCTGCCTTCAAGGATGTCACAGGTGTGTAATAGCAGAGCATAGAATACTACAGGTCGACCACTATACGCCAAGTGAACGGAAATGCCTGATGATGAAAAGGTAGAAATCGTTCTGAACGGAACCCGAAGTATGCAGTGAGGGGAGAGCAACAGCCTGGCTGCTTGTCTAAAATGAAAGTATGGTGCCAGACAGTAGAGAAACCTAAGAAATACGGAGCGAAACGTTCAAGAATCTGCGCGATGGGGCTATTGTTCCTCCCGGCGGAATGGATTGTCTGTTAGAAGGATTTCTTCTCGCCAATAGGGGGCTGTCAAGTACTGTGGAGACCGCTTTTCGTGGCGAATAATGTCACACTGCCTCAGACAGATGACCTGCCAGGCGCTATCACCCTTTACGGCATGGGCACCCTAGGCTGCGTTTATACTTTGCGGCAGCGTAGCGTAGCGCTTCCAGCGTACGCCAGCGGCAGTGCCGGGGAGAGGATGCATATCGATCTAGCGTTCCCAGCGTCACCAGCGTTTTGCTAGCGTTTGCAGCGGCAGGGGAGTAGAGACTATGGGAGAGCTGGAGGGTACAAAAAGCGTTAGCGTTACGCTGGTGACGCTGGGAACGCTAGATCGCATCCTCTATACATCCTCTCCCTGGCACTGCCGCTGGCGTACGCTGGAAGCGCTACGCTGCCGCAAAGTATAAACGCAGCCTTACCACCGCCCTCACCTGTGCGGAATTTCTCGATCACTAAAGTTCTCAAGTTACTCAATATCTCAATATCCAACCTAAAAATCCAGCTATTTCCTTGCAATTCTACGCTCTACATTACTTTACGAAAAGGATGTTGAGCGACTTGCTTCAGAAAATCTAGACCTAATTAGAACTTTATGGGACATCCTCACGTATTTGCATCAATTGAACATAGGTCAGGAATGTGATCTTGTTGAGCGAAATATAAAATTTACCTTGAATGTGATCGCCAACGTGAACGTTCCAATCGTAAGAAGAACTGACATGAGCAGCTTGTCGTACAAAGGATAGCACGTCGTTCCACCATACGAACCACCGACATATCTGCAGTGCTCCAATGGCGCCTGAAGAACGAATTTTGCATAGTCGTTAATACAGCGGAGGAGGCAACGAAAGACATTCCACTGTTTGGGACACCCTTGCAAACTTCTTCCACAAGAAGTGACGAGACAAATGCGCCCTCTGGGCAGATCGGACATGAGTTTCAATCGGTGTCCTTAAGGTAGTTTCCCCGCTCTCCGGAAGAATATCCGATTCAAAATAGTTACAAATGATGCAGAACTTCCTTTAGAAACGAATAGAAACGAATTCCATACTGAATCGCGATGGCTCATTAGATGCGGTATAATTGCACCAATTCACCGTACCGTAGCAAAGAAAACTCTCTTGGGCGAAAGCCGATAAAGGGATTCAACCCTCGGACCGCACATGTGGCAAGCGAACGTTCCCCAGCACACCCCTCCGCCAGCATCCTTAGCCTACACATCAACAGCACACCGATCAAATTCAGTAAGAGGAAAACTTACAGCAGCATAATCGATGAAGGTACTGTTGTGCGCGATGGAAAGGCCCTGCTTCGTAATGTAATCACCAGCTTTTTCAAATGTGATCAGCGCTGAAAGGAAAAATGATCAGCTCTCCATGTTGGACGAAATGCGAAGCAGTTAACGTACGCTTTCCCGTCGGTGGTTCACAGAAACACGTTCCCTCAATTCCTTCACGGCTGTAGTTTATTACGTCCAGCTGGGCTGAAATAATGAAAGCAATCTCCTTCTGAATTGTTAGCAAGAAGAAAAGATTCCAATTACATCTAACTGTTAACTAAGAGATTTTCTTCAAGAAGTAGAAGTAGGAATCAAAACCAGGTAGTACAAGTAGAAGACGTTACGCCACTACATAGTGCATCGCTAGTAACTTTGGGGGGGGGGGGGGGGCATTCAGATGACTCCTGTGCGAAACCAAATCTATCGTCATGGATTATGTGCCTCGGGAACGACCATTCTTTAACACGTTCTCGGCAACGCTATTTCGCCAAAAGCTCCAGCCTGTCGAGCGGCGCTTTCGCCGCGGGCAACACACGCCAGAACCTCTCGTTGCCAATTTCGGCTAAACCTCCCCTGTGTCGGTCTTCTCCTTTTTGAAATTTTTTTTTACATTTTCCCTTAAGACATGTCTCATGCAATTTTTCGGCAGGCAAAGTAGTTTTTTGCACCTTTCAAGGTTGATTAGAATCAGGCAAAAAAGATCCCCACCAAAAATTACTAACTAAACCAAAAATTACGCGCAGATAATAACAAGTAATACTCAATTAACGACACTTCTATGTTTTTTTTTTAATTCTTCGCTCATACTCGAAAAGTTTCCCCCTTTTTACTTTTGAAATAAGTTGTATCGATGAGGAAGCTGATACGGATGGCGCAGTCATCCGAATCAAATTCCTCATCAAAATCAAGTTCTCCTAGTAAAAAACACCAAATGTTGGAGGCAGTACACGTGCATTATTTGCATTACCAGCCGGCTTTGCCGGCTGATGCCTGCACGCCTTCTTCTGAGATAAAGAATGGATTTGCTGAGCGGGCCCGGCTCCGCCGCGCTTATCTTTCTCCTCACCGGCTTTTCTTTTATACAGATAGTCAACAATCTTTGACCAATATGTTCATACGAGTAGCTCACTTATAGTGCACTACATGATTCTTTTATATAGTGAGGTTGTAAACAATCACATTGCCTCAAAGTGATACCAAAACATGGATTTTATTCGCGACTCTGCTAGCGGTTGATCCTTCCTCTATTCACCTTATCGCTTTCATTGACGCTTTTATTACCACACTTGTGATGAGTTTCTACTAAACGCACTCTATGCTTCCCCTCCTGTACTGCTCGCTCACTTATCCAGCCGCACCCAATTACTTCCCCACTCCGCAAACTCGGGCCACCCGCTCCCCATCCCGGCCGCTGTGCACGTGCTCACGTCCACCTGCCACGCGAGCAGCTCGTGCAATGGTTTGGAGTGCACTACATGGTTCTCTTATATAGTGCAGGGTGTTATCACAATCAAAACATTGGATTGATACATCTGCACCAACTGGTTTCGCCACCGGCTAGCGGTCGTATACTCTCCTACACTGACGTGTTTGAACCCGTGAAGCATTTTGCGGACGGACAGACATACATACCGACAAACCGACACACAGAGTTAGTGGTTTATAGAATGTAAGGATTATTCGCATGCAATTTATACCAAAAGAAAAATCAAAGCAAGCGAAAAGGCGAGTGTACACCTGGGAGATCACGACTTCGCCCAAAGAAAAGTTGTATCTTTTTTTTTCGGGAGTACTCGCCTCTTATAATGTGACCAGTCGGATCGCACGGCTGACGCCGAGCTCTCCTCCTTCTTTTTAGCTCGGCTTCGCCGAGCTGGCCTGGCTTCGCCAGGCGCACATCATAACGGGATGGAATTAGTTAATTGCATGAGCTGCTCATATTGCGCGGTAGTGGTCGAATCATAATAGACAGAGTAACCTAGCGAAATCTGCACCCCTCAGAGTTGCGGAAGGCGTGCTGGTTTCGGCCATAACGCCCATTCTATACGTAGATCTCAGAAATAGATAGGAAGTACAGAATATCAATATATGTTGCACAGTAGATGAACACATTCCGTTTTTATTACCTGCATCACAACACCAACGATGGGCGATTAACTTGTCATTAACATGCAATCCACCTGCTAAGGTTGCATGAATGGCTGCAGATGACAATATGTTCATTGAATATCTTACAAACTACTTCGTTATACGTTCTCATCAGTGATTTAAAGTTGAAAAGCAAAAAAAAATATTTGAATACTCACTGAACGCATAAGGTGTG